GTGAAGTAGCTGTTTGGCTCCCCACCATTTGACCTTAGAACTGAAGAAGCTTCTCGGATGAGAGGTGAAACGTCTTCAAGCAACTTAAAGAAGTCCAAACGCTTTTCTTTGCAAGCTCCTTTGACAATGTTGTTTATACTTAATTCCTACCATCCAAATGTCAGATATCAAGACCCATTAGACCAGACGACAGTTTTCCAGTGTCATGTTGTCCAACAACTAGTGAACTCGGGTGAATTGAAGCCCCATTTTCCTTTTTTTTTTTTTTTTTGGCTGACTGGAGAGGCACTCAGTGTGGAATTCTGCTGCAAGGTTTGACGTGCTGTGCAGTCAGAGATGCTCCTCTGCATACTTTAGTTGTAACAAGCAGTCATTTAAGCAGCCTGGCCATTCGCTTCTGACCTGTAGCATCAACAGCGCATTTACGCTGGAAAAACTGCCACTCGCTGAATATTTTCTTTCTTATTGGTCATTCTCAGTAAAGCCTAGAAATGGTTGCGTGGAAAAATCTCAGTTGTTCAGCTGTTTCTGAAATACTCCGACTGGCTCATCTGGCACCAACAACCATGGCACTTTCAAACTAACTTAAATCACCTTTTTTCCTGATTCTGATCCACAATTCAAGCACCAGATCATCTTGACAATGCCTAATTGTTTTGGGTTGATGCCATGTGATTGGCTGATTATATATTTGCAGTAACAAGGAGCTGAGCAGGTGTACCTAACAACTTGATCAGTAAGTTTGCGCAAATCTAATTTGTGGTTATTAAAATATAAATATGTTTTTTGTATATCATCTATATTTTCGTGTAAATTCAAAGTCAGTTTGAACTTTAACTGTGTTATCCATATTCGTTTGCACTTCCCTCATTTGAGCCTGTAGGAGGCGGCAGAGGGCTTAATATTTAAGATAAGGTCATCACAGTGCACCGCTCCATCGCAGACAAACCCACTCTGACTACAGACTACATTATCTAAACCAAGACCGTTATGTAACACAGTTTGTTTGTACGAAGTGTCCATCCAGCCAGTATCATGGAACAAGTAGCTTACAAAAACACTGAGGTAAATGTATAATCTCATTAGATTTAAGCGCGCACACCTACACACACATACACACACATACACACGATGTGGGTGCGTGAACACACATCATGTGTGCAATCATTAAAATGTGCTTGAGTGGGTAGTAAAGGATGCAAGTCCACCCACCATACAACTTTCAATTAAAGTTTGGGATTTGTTTTTTTTAAAACGATCTCCACCCACGGGGAGGCCCCTAATCCAATCAGACCATTATGCCATTTGGAGTAAACATCTGACATAAACAGAGAAGGCCGCCCTTGCTTTGTGATTGTCTTAATTGGATGATTTACGCTGGCTTAGAGGGATGTTTGTCATCTCAGTCCTGCCTGGATCCTGGATACCCCATGCTGACATAGGGAAGACTAAAACAGTTTACCTTTTGACTCCTGTCCACCGTCATATCATCCATTCGCTCATCAGGCTGCTGCCTAAAACTGTCCTGATAATGTTGTGATTTCACCTGGACGAAAGAAGAGGAGTTAAAATTCCGACGCTTTTTGATTCGTGTGTTTTGACAATCCTGGATTTACAAGCTTCAGAAGGGGCATGTAGGGTGAAGCTGACTTATCTTGGAGCACAACAAACTGACCTAGAAAGGAAGTAGAGTGCATACCTTCCACTTATAAAATATTACATAGAATAAAAGAAAATATAGGGACATTATTTTAAATGTGCATGTCAATATTGCTGACCAGATGACAGAGCAAACACAAGTCAGTATATGTATGTATGTATATATATATGTGTGTGTGTGTGTGTGTGTGTGTATATGTATGTATGTATATGTATATATGTATAATTAAAAGACCAAAATCTGTCCCCTCGTTTTCACTTTCCAAAGCCGTCCAGCTGGCCCAATTCTGGCCCCTGGGCCTTATGTTTGACACCACTGATCTAAAGGTTGAGGCTTTTTTGGCTAAATAGATGCTATAAATGTGCTCAAGAAACAACTGCTACAGCTATGGAAGAAATAAAAGACTACAAAGCAAAATAATCTATACAAATAAAGCCAATTTTAAGGTTTATAAGAGCAGATTCAGTGTAAAAATGTCTCAAAGTTCTTGAAATAATTTAAAAAATAACAATTGGTGCATCAGATTTATAGTAGTTAGAGCGGGGGAAACCATCAAATGTAGTGTAGTTAATGATTTACTGCTGCAAAAATATTAAACCCAAACAAAATCATTCTTAAAATTCTCCCCGAGTAACCAAACACTAACTCCCTTCGGATATCTTGAAGGTTCAGCCTGATATAAAGCAGCTGAAAGATAAAAGTGTGATCATGTTGGTGAAATTACACAGGGCTTTTTTTT